AAAATAAGGGCAATGGGATAGTGGGTGGCTGGGTTCCATGGAACTTAAAATTGGGTGGTCTGAGGCTGAGTACAGTGTCTCACATCTGTAATCTCAGCACTTTGGGACGCTGAAGCAGGAGGATCGCTTCAAGCCATGAGTTTCAGACCAACCAGGGCAACAAAGCAAGTCCCTGTCTCTATTAAAAACAAAATTTTTTTGAAAATTTAAAAATTACTTTTTTTAAAAAAGGGTGATCAGAGGAGGCAGGATTGAAGAAACCACCTCAGATAACCCTCTAGTTCCAACCTGCCCTACCTCTTTTGACAGATGGAGAAGTGAGATCCAAGAGGGGACTGGGGACAGATGGAGGTCATGGAGTGTAATTTGCAAGGCCTTCAGCAGGGTGGGGCTACTTTAGATACTGTTGGTCAGGGCCCTCTGCTCTCAGGAGGACAATGGAGCCCTGACCTGAATAACAATGCAGAATTCCAAGAGATCAGCATCTGAAATCAGCATCTGGGCTGGGGACAGCTGGGGGAGAACAGATTCTGGCCCTGACCTCAGGGGGCTTGCATTGGGTGGGGGAGAGGACAGTCCACAAGCAGTTCTATACTGCCATGCGGTCGGTGCCAGGAAGGAAAGAATACTCATCAGGGATTGAGGGTGGGGCAGGGTGTTGATGCCACTTCAAACAGTGAGCAGAGAGAACTGCTTAGGGGAGGGAAGTTCAAGGAGGCGGAGTGGAGGCAGGTGAACTGCTTGGCTATTTGGTTTTAATGGCGACTTCTGGTCTAGGAACAGAGTTGATGTGTATGATTACAGTCCTTCTCTGCTCAAAACCCTCCCAAGGCTCCAGTCTCAGGAAAACCAAAAGACCTTAAAGCGATCAAAAGATTGCTTGGATCTGCCCCCATTTTTTCACTGAACTCAATTCCCAACCCGTATTGCCTCTCCCTTTCCTTGTAATTCCTCAATGCCCAGGTCCACTGGCTGGCTTCCTTCCCTCCAACCTCAGATCCACCATGCCCTTTCCCAGCACAGGGGAGAAAATTGAATCCCTCAACCCCAGTAACCCTCTCCGCCTTTCCAGTTTCCTTTTGCTCCATGACACTGGTCATCATCAAAGGCCATCTATATTTTACATAATTATGTCTATAGTGTCTTCCCCCACCGTCTAAACTCCGTGCAGGCAAACGTCTGTTTGTTCCCTCCTGTATTCCCAGTGCTTCAAACAGAGTCTGGCGCACAGGAGGCACTCAGTGAATGCTTGCAAAATGAATTTTTATTGTAATGCATTAAATGAAATAGCCCAGATTACTATTAAGCACCTAATAACAAACGTGACCGACTATTTTCTCCCTTGGGGGTGTGTGTGGGCATCCCGTGTCTCAGTTTCACCCGCCCTAAAATGGGATCAGGGATAGCTGTTTCAATGCCTTGTGGGAATTCGGTGTGATTAAATTTGGTCACTAAGCCAAGCGCAGGGGGCACTGCCTAGATTGAGTTAGGCCGCCGGCAGGGCCCCAGCTGCGCGGCTCGGTCCCCTCCCATCAGGC